TAGAATACTAGACCACTCAATTATGCATTTAGTATGAAAAGAAAATTCCAGGTGCATAAAACACAAACACTAGCACTACAAAGCCCCTTTCAGCTTCTGAGTTGCTAGATTTTCATAGAATCATAGAACGGCATGGGTTGGAAGGTTCCAACTGCCCTGCCATGGAATGGGCACCTACCACTAGACCTGGTTGCTCAAAGCCCCATCCATCCAGGCCTTGAACACTCCCAGGGATGGATCAGACACAGCTTCTCTGGGGTTCCAGTGCCTCACCATCCTCATAGTGAAGAATTCCTTCCTATTATCTACTGTAAATCTACCCTCTTTCAGTTTAAAGCCATTCCCCCTTGTCCTATCGCTACATGCCTCTGTAAAAAGTCTTCCTCCAGCATTCTTCTAGGCCCCCTTTAGGTATTAGTTTTAAACATGCTATTTTATCAAGGTATGTATTTTCACATATATGCTTTTGTTTGCTGCTAATTTTCCTCAAAAAACTACAGTCTCATAAACTGTATAATTTTAGTAGCACTAGTACATGTTTCTTATGTTATATTACATTCCAAACAGCATGTATTAATTTAAATTGTATTAAGCCACAGTGTTACATATATTCAGAGAGTAACAATGGTAATATTCTTCAGGGACTGTTTTATAAGATCTTATGAGTGTAGAACGAAGCAGCATGACTAGTCCGGGTTGGGACTTTTTTCATGGAGGCAAGCTAAACTTTCCCAAGCAGAACGAGGCATACCTTAGGATGCAGTCCTTCAGCTAAAATATCAAATGATAAGCAAATGAAATTCTGTTGTCCCTAGTTCCCCAGATTCACAAATATCACTTTTTCAGTTCAAACCCCCAAAACTCAAGGTATAAACTCTGCAGGTGTCTGCTGTGAACATTTTTTCTATGTCCCAACTGAATAAGCAACGAGTTCTCTTTTGGTTAAATTACCTGGTGAAGTTACAACTTGCTTCTCATGTACTCAACTTAATACATCACTCCTCTCCTATTCTCCTTTATTAATTCTAAATCCTGATTGTATGTATTTGAAGAAAGATACTTAAAGATCATAGCTGGGGTTATGAGTTCTGGTGGTACAGTATTAGTGTTCTTCAAATTCTTTGCATTAAATATACAATAACTAACAATGCATATAAAGCCTTTCTGCCAAATGCATCTCGAACTCTGTTACAATTTGTAAAACAAAACCTTTTTTTTTTTAATCTTTTTTTTTAGGTCTGCTACAAACTGCTTCAAAATTAGACTGATAACTTGTGAGGTTTAAAGGGACAATTTCTACCTATTTTCAGATGTAATTTTACCATTGTAATTGGCAATAACATTTTTCTTCATTTCAGAGTCATATATTTTTCTGTTTTGCTTGAGTAAGCATTTCATAAAAAAGACAAAAACGTGTAAAAATTCAGGGGAAAAATGAAATTGATTGCACACAAAGTACTGCTCACCAAGTAAGTGAAACAAACGGCAAGAGTGCAAATATAATGTACCACTCTTAGTTTCATTAGCTGCACATGCAAAATGTAAAATTAGTTGACAAAGTATTTTCAGCTCTATCCATTCACAGCTATTTTTAAATTTCACTAACTTCAAGTATAGCATGACTGAAAGTAAATACATAAAAGAAATTTTATTTTTTAAGTATAGTTCTAACTGAAAGAGCCCAAAATTTTTCCCTTGAAAGAAGGTAAAGAGAAAATGTCTGCTACAGGACCAAAGCCAGGAATGTCTCCCACCCCACAATGCATTCACATGGGGTTACAAAGCCCTATATAACTTTACCTAACTTATTAAGAAAGTACAGTGGTATCACTTCAGTATATTACCAGTCACATAATTGCTAACGATACTATTAAAATTTGTCCCTCCTGTAAAAGAACATTCCAAAACTTCATTTCTCTCTGCTTATAACATTTTCAAACCACCGGCTTAGCAATGCATCAAGGTATTTGGCTAGAGGCATTCACACAATTTCAAGTAGGATAGCAAGTGTGATTTCCCCTTCCTGAATCATCTTGTCTTGGAAGTCAATCTTTGCTAAAGTTTTAGGCATACCCTTCAGCTAAGTACATTTTTCAAGCTGGAAAACTAGTTCTTGTTCATTATGCCAAGGGCACGCTGGACTGGTGGGATATTAAGGACTTTTTTTAGTGCTCCTTCTGACAAAGAAACTATAATACACACACCTTGAAATAATTATAAGCAGGGTCCTTTACCTCTGTAACAGCCACCAGATATTATATTTAGCATGACCCTCTGGCTGAGTTCATGTAGCCAGATTACACCAAATGATACCTGACAGGGCAGTAGAGATTTGACAATTGCATCTTCATTCCCTAGTCTCAAACACAGATGGCAACATTATTAAATTCTGATGTCCACAAAAGTCTCTACAGAATCAGGAAGAGAATAATTATCAACATAAGATACTGACATTGCTTCACAGAGTCCTTCCAAAATTATTTTTGTGCATCTTTCTTTAAAAAAAAAAATACTTTTCATGAGGTAATTGTTTGATTTTGTTTGTTTACCTTTCATTGTTTGATTTTATCAGGCTCGGTTAAAGCTAGCTCTCCCATACCCAGTTTAAGTCTCTATGTAAACCAAAGCATTGTCCCTAAGAATCAGTAGCAAGTCCCTCAGATTTTCTATAATGTAAATGGTTAAAATAACTTATAGTATGAAAAAACATGACATTGAATTTCCACCCCCCTCTTTTTTTAAATTAAGTACAAAAACGTTTTAGTAACACATAGCACTTTCTGTCTTTGCAGATGTAGAAGAGAAGGCTCAGGGAGATCATATCCATGTGTGTAAATATCTGAGTAGTGGAGTAAAGAAGACAGAGCCAGACTCTCTTCAGTGATGCCAGAGGTGCCATGTGAAAACTGAAATACCAGAAAACTTATTTGTTTTACTATAAGAGTGGTTCAACACTGGCACAAGTTGCCTGGAGAGCTTCTGGAGTATCCATCCTTGGGGACAGTTAAAACCTGAATGGATCTGACCCTGAGCAACCTGCACTAATTGACTGTGCTTTGAGCGAGAGGAATAGATGTCTTCATAGGTCCCTTCTGAGCTCTACAGTTCTGTGGTGATACATCTATAATGTGATTGCAGTAAACTGACTCAAATAAAGAAAAATTATGAATTACTGTTACAAGCACAGGTTCAAATTTTTAGTGCTCTTGGCAATAGAAAGGAAATCAATATTCCTGTTTAATCCTTTATAGAATACCAGTGCTTTCACTTTCTGCATGTATAATTCCATCTCCCGAGTCTCAGAAATGTTAGTAGTCAGAACCTGTGTCTTAAATTAAGATAAATGAATAATTTTGCAATTCTCCAACTAAAGGTAAGTTAATATAGGAATCTATTGTACTACTTCTGCGTGGTCTTTCCTGTTCTGTTATTACCATTTCCTTTGTAACAGCACACAGTTCACCAACACACCCTCCCCCTGGAATCTGACATAACCTGCTTACACAGAAAACTAAAGCAAGTTTATTGACCCAGCACAGCAAAAAATGATTACACATCTCCTTCAGTTCCCCCAAGCCATTACATGAATTTCTACAGTATGCCTTAGAACAAAATCCTGTAAAGCAAGAATAATGCTGCACTACAAGATTTAAAAAAAAATACTAGTGGTATTTAGCCCTTCTCAGAAATTTAAATTATTGACACTGGAACCACAGCAACTCTAATTGACTAAAACAAAATTAAGTAAGATTTAACACATCATAAGGAAGATCTCTATTTTGCTTGAATTGATATATGCTACTCTGACAGAAGTTGGACTGTCTTCTGGTACTGAATATTCTAGATTCTGTTTCTACGGCACAACTATTTACTTCTCTGAAAAAAAAAAATTCTGCTTTGCTGCTCTAGAGAGTCACCTGTAGAAGGCAGAGAATTCTCCAATTTCAGGTTTTCTTGTGTGCTACCCATTAAAACATGTTAAAAGCAAGAGAGATCAACATTCTACAAGCAATCAAATCCCAGGTGATTACTGTAGCTGTATTATAGCTTGAGTTACAGGCAATGTGACAAGGGGCTTGAGGGAGAAGGATTTCTTTCTGCTCCCACATCTGATGAGCAGCATTCCAAAGTGTACAGGGGAGTAACATTCTTCAATCTAAGAAACTGAGATGGTTCAATATCAAGCATAGAATCTTTGAGACTTTAGAAACTCAGATAATCCAGTACTTCCATCATGGATTTCTTTTTTATCCATACTCATTCACTACAGTTCAAAGAAAAGCAGTGGGAAACAAAATCCATTTATCAAGGAGATAAAAATGAGTTTGCACTCTTTGTAGGGAACAAGCAGGTGCAAACAGATAGGAGAAGAATCTAATATAAATATTGTCAAAAAAAACCTTAAATTCATTGGAGATCAAGTCTCTTGTGAATTCCTGAACTCAAGACACCCAGAGACGTACATCACAGACTTAAAGTTTAACTTCAGGATTACTCTTACCATGTTGTCATACTGCCTTCTCTATGAATACACATGATTTGTCTTGAACCAGTCTCAGTTCATTGCCCTATCATAAAAAGTAATTTCAGAATTTCAGTCTCTGAGCAATTTCTATCCACTTGACCTGTAACATCTTTTAATTTAAATAATTCTTCTCCCTTCCTAGTATTACCCCCATGAATATATGTAGAAAGTCAAAATCCCATCTCACCTCTTCATAGAATAAAGAAACAAGATTTTGAAACTAATAATCTAAAAAGCATGCTACAATCTTTTCATCAATACCATAATCTAATTTGTCTTCTGGGACACATTACGCAAAATAGAAAGGAAACAATAAAAATACCAACTTGAATTCCACACTAGCACAGCTCCCATTTACAAGCTAAAGGTAACATTTTTAAGGATGCAGAATGAAGTTATATGGACTCTAGACATTTTCATTTTAACTCTATGACTTGTAATTAATTTCAAAAGATGTATATACTGAAGCACTTACAGACACTTGAAGAGAAAAGGCCAAATGCTGCTAATGCTGGTTTTTCCTTTAGCTGTTGAATTAAGTGGTTTATTGCCTTCCAGTCAGCATTCAAGTCTTCTAATTTTTTCTACAAAATAAAATTACAATATATTAAATTTGTAACACATTATTAAATGTAAATAAATATAAAATGAATTCATTATTTTTTCTCCACCTGATGAACCATCTCAATTAGGGAAAAAAAAAAAAAAAAAATCACTGGCTTGCCCTGCTCCCTGGTCAACAGGCATTTGCATCTTCTTAGGGAACACAGGATGATAACTTCTTTAACATACAGTAGAAAGGTGGGGATCTGTAATCACCACAAACTAGAGATATGAATTTTTAAAATTAAAATAGAAAGGTGAATTATGTATTAAAACACCCCAACAACCTTGTCAAGAAAAAACTCTGCAATTTGCAATATCAAAAAATGCAGAACACATCTTCCACCTATTAAAAAAAAAAAAAAAAAGTAAAACAAAAGTCTAAGGAGTCTTCAGGGAGTCATTAACTTCAGTGTGTGGGCATGCAAACCTGCCAGTAATGGCTAACCTGTTACTTTTAAACAAACCTCAAGTGAAAGTCTGGTGTGTGATTTATATCAGTCCTCAGACAACCCCAACAGGACTTTAGTCTTGAAAATGCTGTTTCCACCTCTCTAAGGTCTATAAGGAAGGATTAAGCACCGCAGTTCTATGCTGGCATCTCTAAAAAGTCTTGAGATGAATACTGTGTGTCTTTATTTAAGCCACTACCTGATTGCCTGCAACAAAAAGCAGCACAGAGTACCAGTGCCATTTAGGCATGCTTTAAGCATTCTTGTCCAATTCACAATTAGATCCTGTCCTGATGGAAACAGAATGCTTATAAAGAAAGGTACTTTAATTACTTAGAGTCTAAAATGACAGGGCCAATAAGAAAGGGATAGGGAACAATACGCATTAAATTGAAGACGCAGTTAGGTAGCACAATTTTATACTCTGATATGTCAGGGGAGTGTTTCTAGAATTTGCCTCAAGCTTTTCCATAAACACTCTAAATGTGTAAAGTTCTTTTATACTTTTCACCAATGGCAGCCAGAATATTACCTGGTACAAACTCTAGACAGGTTTTTGTGTGAATGCTTTTTGATAGGGCAGGAGAGAAAGAATACAATTCTGCATTAGGGAATAAACCAACTTTTAATCTTTAAGAGCAGTTTAAAAACTGCATTAAAAATTAAATAAAAAGTCAGGAATATTAGAGATTCTCTTTGATAATAGCTTATGAGAACTAGATAAAAAAAGCAATCAGGTATACATGATAAAATTCAGAATCATACTTATGCTTTATTTCTGTGTGGATTACATGTGTGGGCATATGGAAACACATATTTTGGACACATTTTATGCCAGATTTTAAAGTTCCTTTATTTTCTGCTATTGTAGCCCAATAACCTACTTCCAGAGCTGAAAATTCAAAGGACTACTCCAATATCTATTTATCCAATAGTAGCAGAGAGTGCAGAGAGCCCTTAAAAACAAAAACTGGACAGATTATACTATCAAAGTCTGGCTTCATTTTACAATATACTCATCAGTAACTCAGGAAGGAGGTATGGATGGTATAAATATAATACTGGTCCTCACTATGAGTAACTGTTTAACTATTCATGTAGATGTGAGCCAGGGCTTGCTTTCCAGCAATGCCAAAATATAAAACATGCCCACAACCAACATTAGGGTTTTTTTTTGAGGCAACCTCTACACCACTAATAGAAGAGTAGCTAGTTTTAAACTCTTCTATCAGAATTATATTTTGATCTAATTTTGCATCTACCATAAATTATCATGTATGTATTAAAATGTTAACTTTGAGCACAGTAATTTTGCTGTAATTGCAACTCTAAAACTTTGGTGACAAGTATGAACATCAAAATATGTTGCACTGAGGAACACTTTTATTGATTTCTTTTAAATGTCAGCACTGGTACAGTTTAAGAGAGGTTAGCATTCATACACGAACTAATCTCACTGGCAGAGCTAAAACTAGATAGATAGAGAGAAGTGCTGTAATCTTTTAAATGCAAGACTGATGACAATGAAAATGAGTTCCTCACTACTTACTCTCTCACACAACACGTGAAAGGACAAACTGAATGCTGTGGCAAGGGAACTACAGCTTTGACACTACCACAGCAACCCTTTCCTGAATAAACTGTACTTTTTGAGTGCTGTTAATCACGAGATTGGGACTTATGTTCTTTTCATTGCCAATGTCATCAGCCATAAACTCTCCCTTCCCCATGTACAACATCTTTACAGAAATGCATTTCTAAAGCATGAAATCCATTTTATAAAAGTGAATAGGTCTGATTATTAAAGTGCTAGTGCTTAAAGGATCACACATCTCATCCCATTCTTGATTCTTAAAGCAGCCAATACTAGGATTTGTTTTGCCAACAAAAATATTTTTACAGTCCTCTATTGCAAAATTCTATTTTAGTATGCTTAGTGAAAGTGTAAAAACATACTTATCTCAGTGACATAGCTATAAGATTAAGTATGTGTCAATATAAATCCGTGGGAATTGATTTACATTCCAAATGAATTCCAAATCAAAAATATACTATAATGAAAATATATCATAAAGGTTGCAAAGATAACTAGCTAAACATTAGGAAATGCCATTAACTATGAACGTTAATTCAGATACCATGCACATAATTGGACCAGTATCTTTAATTCTCTCACACATACTGTCTTCCAGCACCAGAGAGGATTCCGGTGTGAATGAATCTGTAAGACCTCTACTTTATTGAAAAGAATCAGAAGATCTGAATTAAGGAAATCAGAGAGAAAAAAAGAAAGCTCAGAGAAAGGTGCCGCAGACAACTAAGTATTCCACAAAGCTGCCAAGCAATGGTAAGCAAGCATTTAACACTTTTAAAGAGGCCATGCAATTTTATCCTTTTTCTCTGTGCCACAAAATAAAAAAAGAGTATAAGAATTGCTGCTTGCACTGTGATTGCAATCCATATCCTGTACTGAATTAGGTAGTGCTCAGCCTAAACTGAGATCATCTTAATTCAAGAATTTTCTAAATTTGCAAGTGCTTAACTTTGTAACCTTGCTAATACCTTTTCAAAAACACCCTCATCTGTGTAAAAGTTATTTTTGTTTACACAAAATATCTTTGTGACATTTGCTGAAAAGTCTATATTGTAACATATAAAAAGCAGGAAGAGCTGGAGTTACTTTTGAAAAACGATGGCAAAAGACCAACTCAGAATAAATGGGTAGAAGCATAAGGAAATCTGCATTATCAAGAAAACAATTCAACAGTCCTGACAGCATATGTTCACTATTTTATGACTTACTGAGTAAGACAGACAGTGAATCAGAAATTAACTTCACGGGTCATTCAATTAACTGGACTACAGAATGTAATGAAAAAAGTAAAATACACTTAAAGACTAGAAATTAAACACTTGCTACTCCACAAGTAGTTACCAATTTCCTCACAGGCACATTTTATAATATCGTTGTCAGAAGTACAATTGAAGGAACATCATAATCTTTATTTAAACAGTTAACTCATTCCAGCAAATTGGGTAGAAATTGGCAGTTTTGATGTCTTTAATGTGAACACCAAACAGAAAGAGACACAGAGTATACTTCTGTCAGAAGTTTGGCTTAAACAGAATCACTTCACACAATTTATATTTCTGTCAGTGATATATAGAACAAGTATTAGTTCTTCTCCTTGAAAATGCCAGCATTCATTCTGCAATTCTTTATGTGCAATTACAAAAATCTAGAAAGCCAAAACTTATAGTTTTTTGTTATTTCAGGTGCTTTGCTTGTTAAAATGTGGAGTAAGAGCCCCTAAGACTGCGGCTGAAGTCATATAAAATAAGCAAATGCAATTATTCCAGGGTGATTTTTTTGTTCATTCATTCAATATGCAGATGATGTTTCAGTTCCCAACAATAATAGCACTGTATTAGCCAAGGACAACGGACAACACAGAGTCAAAAGCTTTGTTTCTGCCCACTCTGTTTATCACACTGCTTTTAAGTCATTTTGAGTATATCTCTTTTAGTGTTTTATCTATGTTTAGGAAAACTAGTCATTTAAAAAAAAACACAAAAAAACATAGATAGCAAACTGGAAAATAACTCTCAAAACCTCAACTCTTACCTTTTCTAGAAAATATGTTCATTTGTTTTTAATTGATAAAACTTCTGAAAGTGAAATTCAAAATAAGGGAGTTTAAAACAAGTTCGATGGTGCCATTAATTAGGCACCCAAAATTATATTTGCTTTCAATGTGGATTATTCTTGAAGAAGTAGAACTACCTTAATGCCAAAACCAATATTCCTATCACAATATGCAAAAATTTTCTAGCTGGAACATTGCTATTTTCCTGGCTGTGCCATCACAGAATAGAACAAATGCCATTTGCCAAGTTCCTTCACTGATTATAAACAGAGCACATCAAGGACAAGTGTACAACAGGGGAAGCATAACCCATTACACAGTAATGGATATTGCTAAAGGTTGCTTCATTACCTTTACTGGATGAGTGGCTGGTTTTTCCTTATATAAATGACACCCTTTAGACAAAACCTCTTCCACATTCGGCTGTTTAGCCTGCACTGCTGCTTCAGTTTCCTGAAAAATATAAACACATACAGTGTAGATTAACTACAGCATAAGCAATAAGACTGAAAAGTCCTAAAGCTCCATGGAAAGCTGTAAAATACCAATAGATTAGTTTCTGCTCAGGATTCCTTTTTGGGAAAACTTATGGATAGTAGCAGGTAAGGACAAAGAAGGTCACCAGAGAAAACAAAATCAAAGAGAGATGGAAAAGCGTAATGCCAGGAAAATAAACAGTGATAGGTCTCATTTCCTGAAGGTTTCAATAAGGTGATTACAAAGCTAGCACAAATTTATACTAGGAAACACAGGCATGAGAAATCTCATTTAAGCAGCTCTGTCCTTTGTCTGTTTTACATTACAGGAGATTAAAAGTGTATACCTGTTAATATTTTATTCATACAGTACATGGCATGAAAATCATATTATGAGATGCAATAATGATACAGAATTTAGGAAGATTAAAAGTATTAATAGAAAAGTACTATTGCTAGTAATAAACTAGTATTTATCTAGTAAAACATTTACACTAATGAATTAAAAACAAAAGCATAGTAGTAGTGACAGTTCCTAAAGATATGAGGAGGCACTTACCATTAGCAATGATGCCCAACTGAATTAGCAACAGCATTTTCCATAGCAACCTGTTTTTTTTTAATCTGGAAAGGTATAATTCATGTGCTATTGGAATAAACCCTTCCAAATGTACAGCAGCATCATTTCATCAGGCACTGACCAAAAATATAATGGGTGAAGCACTACATACAGATAATTAAAAGAAAAAAAAATACCGAAAAGTATAAATGAAATTATTAACTGCACCTGGACTTCCAAGATTCAAATTGTTCTCAGTTTTCAAGTTATATAAAAAAAAAACAAACAAAGAAAACTGAAAAAAAAAAATCAGAGTTATCTATCAAAATTAATTGGCTGGCTTGTTTTTGTTTTCCTCTCTCCACTCTTCTCCTACTATTTCACAGCTTGATTACCTTGTCCTAACCAATATTGCAGACTATCTACTGACTCTCCAACCTGATTTTCTGTCCACAATCTCAGTTATCATTAGGGTGACAGCAGACAAGATTGTGTGCTGAGCTTGTCACTGTCTGATCGACACATCATTTTATTGGTGGAAATCTGCTATTTTTTGCTCTATAATAAACTTGTTAAAGTGTATGTCATTTTCAGTCTCAAAAAGAGTCCATTTTGCCCCTGTGTTTCAGGTCAACGTAGAAAACATGCCTACAGTGCTGCCTGAAATTTTATATACAAATCTTTATGGACAAATAGTAAAAATAAAAATAACATTTTCCTTGCAAATACTGTTTATCAATAACAAAGTGAAATAAAGAGTGTCTGATTAACTGCAATGATATTTATAACATTTAATTTGTTTTTATTATGCCTTTTGATATTAATGAGATATAACTGTAAGGATTCATAGAGAATGAGCACTGAAAAGCAATGCACAGCAAAATTGGGATGGGGGAGTTTATTAACTTTTGATCAAATCCTCAGTAAAGTCCCATTTTCTTTATGTGACTAGGTTAGGTTTCTACTTCTCTACTTACCATATAAAGAAAAAAATAAGCATAGAATCATAGAATGGTTAGAGTTGGAAGGGATCTTAAAGATCATCTAGTTCCAACCTCCCGCCATGGGCAGGGACACCTTTCACTACACCAGGTTGCTTAAAGCCCCATCCAACCTGGCCTTCAACACTTCTAGAATCCTGAATACATCTTTAACTAGGTCAGGTTGCCTAGAACCACATCCTGTGTGGTGCTGAATATTTCCAGGGATGGTGCACCTATCGTCTCTCTGGGCAACGTGTTCCAGTATTTTACAGCCCTCACTGTCAAGGAGCGTTAATGAAAAAGGTAATTTTCTGCCTAGTTTGATGAAAAATAGGCATTTTAATATTTGTTTTAGTTGCATTGTTTTTTTTTAAACTAAGGCTTTTTTTTTTCTTTTTTGTGCCAATATTTTGTGTTGTGTTATCCTACACATCTCAAATACTCATAACAGCACCAGTTACCATAAAAAATTCTGTATCGGGAAAAACATGTTATGATTCCCTGCAGAGTCCAAGAATATAAAGAGCACTACAGGTGCGAAGATACTGACGGTTTAACCCACACTGTGTACGTGCCTTCAAAGTAGATCGTTTCCCCACTAACTGGGCATTGTTTTCCACCATGGACTGGTCTGGGATCACACAGATTGGTTTCTTTCAGACTGTAATCAGCTTGGAAGATGTGCACTAGGAGGGCATCTAACATAGTTCCAGGCCATGAGGACACTGACAGCCCTGATTGCCCATGACTGCTCACCCCCGCCATGTTACCCCCACCTGCCCATGGTTCAGGACCCTGCATCAGGCCCTCCAGGGCCATCTGTCCCTACCCCAGTGATGCTGCAGCAGGGCTGGTCTCCAGCGCCCCATAGCCCTGCCCTGCTTGGCCACTGGACCCACCAAGCCAGGCAAACCCACAGGCTCATGTTCCATCCACAGGGAGGTGCCTCCTGGCTGCCCTGCTCCTATCTATGGGGTGGAATGGGACCTGGCTGCCAAGGCCTGCCCTGAGAGCTCCTCAAAGGGAGACCTCCAGTGGCCCTGGCACATGGAGAGCCACTGGCCCTGCAGGCAGCTGTAACAAGAATGGAGGAACCTGAGCACTTACTGTTCCCTCCTAAGTCATCTTCATCAATTCCCCTTAACATTTTCTAGAATTGAGGAAAAGCAGAGGGTCTTAAGAGGCTCTCTCAAGCTTTGGCATGCATTTGATCTGACTAGGTTTGCACTAACAGCCATTAACAATAACAGTCAAGTTCTACCCCTAGGAATTCAAACCCAGAACCACCTGGCTTTGAGTGGAAGCACTCCAAACTAATTAAAAGGACTACTCATAACAGCAGCTACTATTCAAATCCTGTAGCTGTAAGAAAATTTGGCTGCTCAGTATTTATTCATATTCTACCCCTCTATATTGAAATCTGAATCATGATTTATTGTATACACACATATAAATAGGCTAATATCCCTTTTCAAAGTGAGAGAAAAAAATAATTAAAAAAAAAGGCAAAACGAATGACTGATGGTACCATGTGACTCCACCTTCTGCAGAAAATAATAGGAAAATACTTAACCATCCTTTTCATTGTCATTATTTTATCCTAATGCTAGTATACACAGCACACATAAAAGCTAACAAACATCTCTGCCTATTACATAAACATTTGAAATGATTTATTTATGGATTCAAAAGGTATTTTTTTTTTTATGGATAGAATACAGATATAATTGTCTATAGCCAGTTAACAGAAACATAACGTTTAGCTGTTGAGTCACCAAATTCATTCTGCTTCACAATTTTCTGGAGTTACATGAACTAATCTTGAATAGTCTGATCTTTCAAAATCAATGGACTTGATCTAAACCAAAATGCAAGTGCAAGTCTATTCAATGTAGCATGATGTTTCATTTGAGATTTATGTTGAAATAAGAGTAGAGATAAGAGCCCAGGGGAAAAAGAGGTTCTCAGTATCTTTTCATTCATTTGGACACTGCTGAAATGAACAGATATCTTACTTGCTAGAGCAGCACCCACTTTTTGTTTGTTGCATGCTTAATTCCAACATCATTGAAATACGTCAGAAAATTATTTTAAATAACTGCACACCTTAAAATGCTGCAGGAACTTTGAGGGAGCTCTTTGTTCAGTTCTCTGCCTGATGGGACAGCCCCTTGACAAATTCTGCCCAGTGAGCAAGTTTCCAGCAATTTCAAATCCATTTGCTAGGTGACACCCAGTTAATACGGGTTGATAGTCAAGCGAGTAGTTTCAGGATGCTGTTCCACCATTTGGTTCCCCAAAAGAGCAAAAAAGTTAATGACCATAACATGGCCTCCAATGGTTTGCTCACAACAGAGACCACGGTTATTATCTAGGCTGTGCAGAATCCAGGAGAACAGCATTCTCCCAGAGCAGGGCCTGAGATCTACTCTTGATTGCACAGGCCAGGCTACTACTCAAGCTAATAGAAGTCGTCCATGCTCATGTCCATCAGTTTTTAGAGAATACCCAAGCCACAACTTTAAAAAAGTCCTGATTCAAGATCATTGACTCCCTTGCCACACTCGCTTTCTGCCCTGGGGGAGGACTCCTGTAGGGTGGATGCAGCACTGTCTCTGGGAAGACAGAGCTGGCTGTACTGTAATAACACAGTTTAGAATCTGCCTGTGAAACGAATCATAATGCTACTTCTGGACTGGGTGATGAATATGCTAATTAAACTTTTCACACATATGGTAAATTAAAATACATCATAATTGGAAACTGCTGTTTCTCAAACATGTATAAACAAGAATCAGAGGCCACCTTCTTTCCATGATGTACTATCTATGAATTTTCAGTGGTGTTAAAATGATACATTCAAACTGATGAAACCAATATATTGACTAAACCTCTGGAGTGTATGCCAGTGGAAGAGGAAGTTTGATGGCTTGACATATGTTATTTCAAGAGATGGTAACTATCCTAGCAGACACAGGCTGTTTGACATATGCTGCACATATACTAGGAGGCCCAGACAACTATCTATAAAAGTATCTGCAGTATTTCAGACAGTCTACTGGTCTATATTAAGAATCACTAGCACTGATGCCCCTTCACCAGTAACACTATGGAAATTCTGGGGATTGATTACCTAATGAGATAATGTCCATGGGACATTTACTGCAGGGACAGTAGGAGAAGCTGAGGGTGTTTAAACCTGCATCTTCATGGTAAAATGCAATGCAAAAATGGAAACTTAATTACAACCTTCAAATTAAAAAAAAAACAAAAAAACTTTGAAATTAATGTAGTGAGTGGTTTTAAAAGTAATGACATTTTTTCATCAAGACAGTACATTAAATGAAGCTTAAAGGAGAGAATTTATTCCCAGGAAAACACAAGCAGTAAGCAATTACCCTTCACTTCACAAGAAAGACAAGGCAGTAGTGTTTA